TGATGCCATTAAGTTTCGTTCAACCTTATCCCTCAAGAATTATTCTCAAACAGGGTGAAATTTTCTTACAATCTCGCCTTAGTCTCATCAGACTCCCAATGGGGATAAACCTCGAATGTAGCAGAAATTACTTTCGACGTGATTGCAATAAACAAAATTGCCATTTGGCCACAGGGAAAGTGAATTTAAAGGCAAGCCAAGCTTCTCCCATTTCACGTGTTTAGTAGATTGCCTTCAAATTCCTATCAGCTCTGTGACCCAATAGCACTTGATTACCAGACGTAGTGGCAAAGTGTCGCCATCTACATTTCACGACCCGAATTCGAATCCCGTTGGGGGTGTTGAGGAGACCAAGGCGAGAAGGAAACTGCAGTCCAACTGTCTATTCACATAAAATAACAGATTTTTAAAATTGGACACTTATTTCACACTGTTGGGTGAATTTTGTTTTAGCGAAGACGAAATGAACCACCCGAAACGGAATAAAAAATGAGGGATTTATTTCGCAACTTAAATTCTCCGTTGTATAGAAGTTGTTCGACCTTGTTTTCGCAACTTGGTCATATTGGCAGGAAGAATTGGAAATTCCGACTCTGGAAATTCGCATGCATACTATGAATTCCAGACAAGGTGCGTTCCTCAGACTGAAGTCAACCAACTGCTATACAAGGAAAGGAGGCCGCGACCATACAAAAGGCTTCACCATTCTGGTCTTTATATCTTCGACAGAATTCTCCGTACCTGACATTATAAAGCAGTTTTATTAACAGGAGCGGGTGACATCTGAGGTTTTGCAAAAGCTATTTTGAGGTCAAATGTATTCATATAAATTACCAGCTTGTTTGTGATATTGCTCCAATTTTTCATAAATCTCTATTTATCTTTCAGCTTAGAGGTAAATCAGTTTTTCGACTATAATAAGATTCACACATATTTTTGAGAAATTATATTTAGCAAGTAAAGCTAGTAGCTAATGATACTAAGTGATTTGCCATCCCCTAACATATGAAATACTACATCACCCTGGAAATGTATCGTGTAAGAATTAGGCTTTGTGGTCGTTGATACAGTGTCAGGATGCCAAAACCAATATTTTCATAATTTAATGAAGCAATACTTTATTTTGCTTGTGAGCTTAACCGTTCCACATCATCTAAAAGTATGTCAGCGTTCGGATATACTAAGTCTAAGTCTCCTCCCTATTCTAGACGGGACTCAAACCTAGATCGTTCGGAACTTGGTAGAACTACGCAACGACTTTACATAATGCGGAATTAAGGTTTTTACATTATAGCAGAAGCATGTATTTGATAGCAAGGCATGCCGAGCTCAACTGCTACTATCAATGATTGATATGAATGAAGTAGACAAAGATAGGTAGGAAATGGCCTATTGCTGCACAATACCAGCGAATTTGTCTTAAAACCATCAGCAAAGGTTGATTGCCTAATACTGGTCTTGAAGTGTTAGAAACAACAATATCTCATCCGCAAAAGACGAATTAAAATGAGGTTAAATAATTGTCATTCTTGTTTTTGGCGGACATACCCCTTAAGTTTCTCTATCGGCGTATGCACTAATATTACTTTTCATCAGTTATACTCCAAATCTTTTTATAAACTGTCTCCTTTACAAATGCATCTGCAGTACTGATGAATAACTTTAAGATTAATTTTCAAATTATCATCGTTTTGAATAGAACTTGTCCTTAAGAAATCGAGAATTTAGTATCAATTTCATTCTCAACTTTTTTTAGCATACTTCATGAAATCTTTATTTAATACATTAATCCTTTGTTCTGCTCTTGTCAATAAAACAATTTCCAAGTTATAATCACTTAACTTTTTTTTATCTGAATGACCACAATTAAAATGCATCGAAATTATTTCAAAAAAGATGTCCGAACCATTTTCAAAATGATAACTATGTAGTCTATGTGGTAACCGGAACTATATTAACAGGTCGAGCAAACTTTGATTAAGTAGTGAATACACAGTTTATTAGTTGATACTTCTTTTTTAACATAATAAATCGGATAGCAAACGAAGGAGGCCTCTTGAGTTGCCTTAAAGATTGATTGAAAAGCCTTAGCCTCTCCTGTTTAATAGTGGATAAATGTGGATAAGAGTCACATTAGCTTGCATCAATAGGCGGAAAATTCACTCAGCTTCAAAGTTGAGCATAATAACCTCCATAATTTCGTTTCGGTACATTCTTCTGAGAACAGTCATTTTCTCACTATTAAGCGAGTTTCGTGGCGCCTCAATGAAAGCATATGATCGATTCGTAAAGAAAACATATGCAGTTCTAAGCATCCTCCCTTTTAACCGGATATTTGAGGGGAGCTATGGGCGAAAGTGATTAATTAGAACATACATAACGCTAAAGCGATCCAAAGAGTAGTAAAGCATAGTCGAATCAGTTCACCTCTGAAAAGCCTGTGGATCTGTATTTCGATTTTTAGGGACAGACAGCCTAAGAGTTCTTGCCTGATGGTACAGTGACTGTAGTCTATAATGGACTCACATGCTGCCTGGTAGGATTTAAGTGCACCATTCAGAACGACTCTGCTCATGAAAATGGTACGTTATCGTGGAAGTATGGTTATATTGTATTAAGATTACTGCATTTAGGTTGAACTATCATTCAGCCTTTATTACCGATATATTAAGTCAAATGTTAATATGAGAAAATGCTCACAAAATGCATGGAAACTGTCAAATTTCATCCTTTGTCTGTACAAGCTTACACGTGTTTTGGCCATTGTTTAATAGGCAGCCGTTCCTGCAGGGGAGCGTCCACAAAATTTCTACCGGCATGACCCATCTCCTTAGTCGATAAGTTGTGGGCCTCAGTCTTCTCAGGAACCGCCTTCTCCAACTCTCCCTTTGGTAGTGTTAATACGCTGTTGGTCACCTCTTCGAGCAAATCAACAACCGCATTTTCACATTTGGTGGCTTCACTTTTGACGTCTGCAACCAATTCGTGGTCAGTTAGACGAACGGGCAAACTCGGCTTCTGGTGGTTCAATCGTCTCTCCTCGACCAATTTCTCGAGGCGCTTAAACTCCTTCCTTGCAAAGCAAGTTAGTTTGCTTGACTCAAGACGCCATTGCATCAAGGGGCGTGTTATCAACGTGATCTTCTCCACCAGAGAGCTGTGATTCTCTGCCAGTTGAGTGAGTAGACGGCCGTTTTTTAGGATAGTTTCGGAGTTATCTACAAATTGTAAGCAACGATGACTGTCGTCTACTGTTGACCTTTATTGTGAATGAATGCCAATATTCTTACTATGTCCATATGACCGGCCATAAAGCATTTTCTTTGAATTGCCAAAAAAGTAGCCATACACAAGTTTAGGTGGTGGAACATTTGATTGATGCATGTTAAAAAAATTCCCATCTTAAAAAAGTTGAATAGTAACTTTAAAACTATACCGAAAATGTGAATCCAATCGA